AAAAACAAAAACAAAAACAAAAGACAGCAGCTGGCTTGTGAAAAAACAAAAAAACAAAAACAAAAACAAAAGACAGCAGCTGGCTTGTGAAACTTGGATTTCCTTTAGAAAGGATCACCAAATCTTCCGAAAATAAATAAATAAATGTGGGAAAAGCATCTTTGATCACTGTGTTCCATCCATTAAGCAACAGCACCATCAAATGACCCACTTGTCCCCTGCAGGGCATCCTGGGGCTTCCGGAACATGCTGGGAGGAGGGACAGGAGGAATGGCTGCATGGACCAAGGCACTTACTCCACAAGGCCACACAAGGCACAGGCCATAGCGCCACAGCCCCAGCAGGGACGCACACACTGCCCACACAGGGCCCGCTCACACTGGCTGCAGATCGCCTTTCCATCCACAGCTCGCACGCACGATGAGCAGGCATGGGATGTTGCCCCAGACAGGTCAGCCTTGGAGGCCTGCGCACAGCTCTGGATCAGCTGGCCATCAGGTCCAACGAGCATCTGGCCCCTTGCAGCTCGGGGTGTCTCTGTGGGGCCAGCTTCGGGGATGCTGGCAGGTTGACAATGGCACAGCTTTCGCCCCACACATGGTCTCTGTAGGCCTGGGCCCCACGGAAAAGCAGCTGCTTGGTCTTCTCGAAGACCTCCCGCGAGTACTGCTCCGCGCACATGCCGCGGCTCAGCTCCTTCAGGCCTACGCGAACTTTGAGCTGCAGCGGGGCTGCATCCGCGAACGGGCAGCCCCGCTTGGGCATGGCCACCGGGCCGCAGCCTTAGTTAATATTTTAAACAATTATCAGGCACTTAATATACTGCTTCAATTTTTTAAAACTTAATTTTAAAGAGTAAAAACAAAATTAAAAGCAAAAACAAAGCCAGAAACAGAGTAACGTACAACAATACATACAGTACATATTTTCAAAATAAGAACAGCATGAGGGCCAGCCTGATAGCTCAGTGGACTAAAGTGCCTGCTCAGGCAGAACGCAGTGGCCAGGGTTCGCTCCCTGGCGTGCTGTGCTGGCCCCACCTGTGGGGCACACTGAGATTGTGATTGAGCTTGGGCGTGGTGGCACGAGCCTGTAATCCCAGCACTTGAGAGGCTGAAAACAGGAGAATCACTATGAGTCTGATCTACGTAGTGAGACACTGGAGACACTTGTCCAAAATATAGGGGGGAAAAAAAAGAATAGCACACTAACAGTGATTGTTATATTACGTATTTTTATCATCAAATCTGTTGCTCAGATTATCAAATATAGGTTTGCAAGATTGGACAAATAACTGAACATTAACATTTTCAACAAATAATTTTTTCTTGACGTTTTTATTATTTTTAAATTTATTTTAAAGAATATAGTAATAATTGATAAGACATTAAAAATGGTATACATTTAGAAGAACAAGATGAGAGGTACTCAACCATGGTTTTTGTATTGCACATTGCTATCTTCAATGTAGGTGCTCAGAATGTTTCAATTTTAAACGGTGAATTTTCATACAAACAAAATGATCTATTTTTATAGTTAGTTTAATAAATAAAAGTCAATGAACCATCAAGTTACAATAAAGAGCTATAAGTACCTGTTCCATCCTTTGAGCCATCTCTTTGTGTAACTGCTGAATTGCATTTTTAGCTGCAACATCTTGAGCTACCAGTTTATCTTTAGAAGCTTTAACTTCTTTATTAAGCTCTTCTATTCTTGTTTCTAACTGTGAAGAAAATTACTTTCAGATTATTTTTATAGCTGTACCAAACAGACTCAATACCTGAAATAAATACATAAATTATAAACAAATGTAATGAATAAACTCTAACCAAAGAAATCAAACCTGTTAGCAATGTTTCTGTCCCACTGGAATTTTTAAATCTGAAGAGATGGTGATTCATTAACCTGTATACATGGAAAGTCCTATGGTTTCACCAAGGAACAATCCAAAGAAATATAGTGAAAATGTAATGAAAAAAATATTTTATTAAAAAATGGTACAAAAAGGAAGCCCAGAAGAAGCAGTGGGAGCAGAAAGTAACATGGCAAACATAAGCTCAAATGTGAATCACATTAAATCAAAGTGGATTACACAATCACAGGAAAAGGCAGAAACAGACACACTAGAATAAAAAACAAAATGCAACTGTATTCTATTTGTAGGAGACATGTGGTCGAAAGATACATGCAGACTGAACATAAATGGAAAAAGATAACTGCATGCCAACAGCAATCACAGAAAAGTGAGAGCAGCTATACTAATAACAGATGAAAGACACTGGAACAAAAATGTTACACGAGGCGAAAGACATTTCATAATGATGATAAAAAGACCAACTCATCAAGGAGATCTAACATATATAGAGTAACGGCATCAAAATGCTCCAAAGAAAAACTATCAAAAACGAAGTGGGAGGCTGAAAGAAAAATGAAATACTTAGGAGTCAATTCAGTGAAGGAAGTAAAAGAACTTTACATTTGAAAGCAACAGTACTCTGAAATAGAACATCAAAGAGGATATTAGAAAATGAAAAGATGGGCCAGGGAGATAGCTCAGTAGAATAAGTGCTTGCCTGGAAAGCACAAGGTCCTGAGTTCAGTCCCAGGTACTGGAAAATAAATAAATAAATAAAATAATGAAAAGATATCTCTTTTTCTTGACTATGCAGATCAATATAATGAAAATGGCTATACTTCTAAAGCTGTTGTACAGACTTCATTCAATCCTGATCCTCACAGAAGTAGAGAAAACCATCCTAAAATTCATTTAGAACCAGAAGAGACCTAGAATACCAAAAGTAATTCTGGGCAACAAAGGTAAGGCAGGAGCAACACAATCCCTGATGAGAAATTACATTACAAACCTACAGCAATTAAAAAAAAAAAGTACACAGCATGGTATTGGCAAAATCAGACCTGAGGATCAATGGAAGAGATTAAAAGATGCAGACGCAACTCCAAACACATTCAGCCACTTTTGTCTTTGACAAAGGGGCTGAATACCATCACTGGAAGAAAGTTTTAATAAATGATACTGGGAAAACTGGCTTCCCACATGCCCAAGATTAAATCTAGAACCTTACCTCTCATCTTGCACTACACTAAAATTGAAATGGATCAAATAAGATACTAAAACAGAAACACTTAATCAGATGCAAGACAGAACAGGCAAAACCCTTGAAAACAACTTTATGAACAAATATCTCTTTGCATAGGAAGCATCACAAAGAATCAACAACTTGGATCTCCTTATATTAAACAACTTTTGCATAGCAATAGAAGTCACCAACACAGTGAAGACACTACCCACAGAAGAGGAAAAAAAATTTTACGATTTTTGCTATTCCTCATAGAAAAAACTAATACTAAGAATACATAAAGAGGGGCCAGGGAGATGGCTCAGCACAAGGGCCTAAGTTCAATCCCCAATTCCGCAAAAAAAAAAAAAAAAAAAAAAAAAAAAAAAAAAAAAAAAAAGAATATATAAGGAGTTCAAAAAACTCAGATCCCCCCAAATTTAAACAACTAGTCCAAAAATGGTTATATGAAATGAACAGACATGCCTCAAAGAAGTACAAACGATAAATAAACTTATGAAAAAATACCCAACATCACTGGTCATTCAAAAAATGCACAATAAAACAACATTGAGATTCCATCTCACTTCAGCAAGAATGACTATCATCAAGAGATCAACCAACAACAAATGCTAGTTAGGCTGTGGGGAAAAAAGAACCCTTTTCCACTGTTGGTGGGAGTATAAAGCGGCGTAACTATTATGAAAATCAGTATGGAGATTCTTCAAAAACCTAAAACTAAAGGTTCCAATTGACCCAGTTATTCTCCTTCTTGGCATCTTTCTCAAAGAGTTAAAAGTATCATACCACAGCAATATATGCATACCCATGTTTATAGCAGCACAATTTGTATTCGCTAAATCTTGGAAACAACCCCAATGAATATCAACAGATGAATGGATAAAGAATATGTGGTTTATATATATGATGGAATACTACTCTCCCAGAGAAGGACAAACCTGAGACATTTTCAGGTAAATGGATTCAAGTTGAAACCAGACTTTTACAATGAAATAAATCAGACATACACATTTAACATCAAACTATTTCTGTTGTATGAGAAACTAACAGGATAAACAAAGACCAAAATAGATGACTGGGGAAGTAGGAAGAAAATGTTACAATGAGAAGGAGAACAAAGAGGGGAAAGAGGGGAGGGAAGGGAAAAGGGGAAAAAAAAGATTATAAAGAAAAAATGAAAGCAAAGCTTTTGTAAATAAGGAGAGGAAAAAAAAAAAAGAGTTGAAGAGGGCAGGGAGCTGGGGAGCTAGCAAGGCAGTCTAAGTGCCTGCCTGGCAAGTGTAAGGAACCAGATTTGATTCCTGGTACTGCACGCAGTGCCAGCCTAAAACTGGGCGTGGTGGCGCTCGCCTGTAATCCCAACGTTGGGTAGGCTCACACAGGAGGAGCACTATGAGTCTGAGCTGCACAGTGAGATCCTGTATCAAATGAATAAATAAATAAGGAAAAAAGAAAGCAGGGAATGAGGGTAAAATCAAATTATATTATGTATAGGTACAAATTCCCTATGATGAATGTGATAATGTGTATATCAAAAGTGTAGCAATAAAATTAACTGTAAAAAATAAAAATAAAGCAGGCAAAGCTGGCTTGCTATTAGGAGGTTGGGTCTGGTTAAAAAAGCCTGGTCACTGTGGAAATGACCAGGAAGGTTATATCTCCCTTCCAAGCTCATCCCTGTCTGCCTCTGCTTCCTGAACTCCTTGATGTCAGCAGCTACTCCTCTACAGTACACCTGTGCCACGCTCAGGTTTCACCTCACTTGCTCAATATAAAGTTTCTGGTCATCAGTAGCTACTAACTACCAAAATATATGGATCAGTACTATTATTAAGGCTTCTTCAGACTTTTAACCCCTGACGTCTGATTTACTTGGAATGGTCCTAGAGCACAAATAAGCCAGGATTAAATATCAAACATAATTTACAAATACCATCTGTATAAAAGTATATTAAGTATAAGATACAAACTTAAATTGTCAATTATTACTTTTAATTTCATTATAACTTTCTATGAAAGATGAATCAAAAGGAAATCACAGTGACAAGCTACATAATGTTTCTGTCAGTGGACTTCATACATGGTCCATTAAGATTATATACCACTTAGTGGTGTAGGTATATATCTTAGTTAGGTATATCCTATGATATTTAAGCAAGTATGAAAACACCTAATGATAAATTTCTTACAACATATCCACTTACTTAACTTACTTCTAAAGCTAAAATGTCTCTAATCCTGGCCATAGAAGAAAAAGCAACTCAAAGATAAAAGAACAGCTCAGCTTTGTTTTCAATACTAAAAATCCACTTTGCTATCTATCCATTAAAGCTTAAAAAAGAAAAAAAGGGCAGCTAAGCCAGACAAAATCTAAAGTATAAGAGCCAGTATTCATAGTGTAGTGCATAAAAACATTGAATATGAAACTATGTTATAATTTAAGTTATCAACAACCTAATGCTGGATGTATACTTTTTGTTACTGGTTCTTCCCTTAGTTAAAAGCAATCTGGGGGCTGGAGAGATGGCTCAGTGGTCTAAAGCACCTACTTGAAACAAGCTTGGTAAAGCACAGGGACCGCGGTTCGATCCCCAGCACCACATGCCAGCCAGACCCGCCCCCTGGTGGGCTGAGCTGGCCACACACACACACAATAAATAAATGTAATAAATAAAAATAAATAAATATTTAAAAAAAAAAGAATAAAAAAAATAATAAAAGCAATCTGGTTGACTGTCAAATCAAATAATCTTTACTATTATTTTGAACATAATAAGCTCTATTATACTTTATATAGCAGACACACAAACCATAAAAATAGGAATTTATATATAAGAAAGTCAGGCTATGGTCCCACTTCAGAAGAGACTGCTTTAAAAACCAAGCAATTCTTTGCATTTAAAACATTTCAATTTACAAAGTTTCAATTTATACAAAAATTTTCAGGAATATATTTCTAAGCTAAAATATGATCTTCAAAATTTCTTTTTACCTGTTTAATTGTGCTCAAATGCTGCTTCTCTGTTTCTGTTCTTTTTTTAAGTTCTTCTCTTAAATTGTCTTTTTCTGAACAAATGTCTAAGATGAGCTCCTGATGGTTCTTATTTTCTTTAATTAACCTAAATGTAAAAGGGTAGTACGAGTAAAACATAATTAAAAATGGAGAAAAAATGAGAAGTGGAATATAATCTAAAAATTAAAGACTATAGATTCCTATCATTCTAAGTTAACATACCTAATGTTTTTATAATAAAGTCTGTTCATGCAAGGACAAAATCGCCTAATACATTTCTCAGGAAGTGTGTTTAGGCTGGGGAGATGACTCAGTGGAATAAGGGCTTCCCTGGAAAGTGCAAGGGCCTGAGTTCAATCCCTGGTTCCACCAAAAAAAAAAAAAAAAAGAAAACAGAAAGTGTGTTTGTGGTTATGTGACTGTACTTTCAATGGTAGGTTCCCTCCAATCCTGTCGACTGAAGGAAAGCAGCTTAGTTTACACATCAACCTAAGCATTTGCTTTGTTAATCCATTCATTATATATTTTACAAAACATTCTCTGGCCAATCAGATACTAACTTTTTTCCAAGAAATTTCACATCAAGAGAAAGAGTTGCTAGTGTTATCTAGTGGGTAGAACCCTCCTATAATTCATAAGGTAGCCCCCAGGGGCAGAATTATCTGGCTTTAAATGGCAATAGGGCCAAGAGTGAGAAGTCCTGCTTTAGATTAAAATATTTTAATGGCATTTTATTAGTTATGGAAGCACAGTAAAAAAAAATGAAAAAGTTAAAACAAATTTCAAGTTCTCCTGCAAAATTAGAATTCAAATTTTAAAAACTGCCCACAAAATACTCAGAACCATACGATAACTAAGAAACAGCTATTCTAGATTAATAGTAATAGCTATTACCTAACACTTTTTGCACACCTATTATTTGCTAAGATTAGGCTTATTAAAGTGTTATTGGGGCTGGGGAGATGGCTCAGTAGAATAAGTGCTTGCCTGGCAAGCACAAGGGCGTGAGTTCAATCCCCAGTTCGGCCAAAAGTGCTATTTCATTTAATATTCAAAATACATTTATGAAATTTTCATCAATATTTCTGTTTTATGAACTTAAAAGTGAAGCTACCTCTTACTGCAGGTCATACAGCTAGTAAGCATTTGATCTGTCAGGTGTAATTCCAAAACTCAGGCCTTTCCACACTTCTTACCCATGTGCTTACGGGTAGCTACCAGGTATATTATTCTATATGTAAATAATAATATGTCAGCAAACAATCCTTGCCCCCTTTGGAGCTTACATTCTAAGGAAGAATATTAAAAGGACACATATGTAAACATGTATGTTAGGCAGTGGTTAAATCCTATAAGAAGCATAAAGGAAGACAAGAAGGCAGAAAGTAGTCATAATAGGCGTCTGTGAAGAACTAAGAATGCAGTGAAGAAGTAAGTATGCAAATGTTTGGGAAAGACACAAACGCAGCATTCTTGCTTCAAGCCATTCATGACACAGTGGTTTTAACTTATTTATGACTATGTAATCAATTTGCTACAAAAAACTTGAGATAAGAGGGGCCGGGGAGATGGCTCAGTGGAATAAGTGCTTCCCCAGCAAGCACAAGGGCCTGAGTTCAATCCCTGGTTCCGCAAAACAAAAACAAAAACAAAAACAAAAAAACCCCTAAAACTTGAGATAAGAATCCTGGCTATAATTCAGTACTAAAGGAAGGGGAAAGAAGAAAAAAGACAAGAATATTCAAATTTTATTTTATTTTATTGATGTTATTCTGTTTTGTGTACTGCAGTATTAGGGATCTAAGGGACAGCTTCACATGTTTTAGAGTACTTTACTACTGAGCTACAACCACAAACCAAAAAGATGTTTACATTCCAAGTACAGATTTAAATAAAAAATTTTGGTTGGGACATTGGACAACATTGATGTTAGAAAATACAGGAATAGAAAAATAGTGAACGGTCATTGCCAAAGGAGAGGTTTGTTAAAGGCTACAAATTTTCAGCTCTAAGTTGAATAAATCCTGGAGAGCTAAGGTATACCATAGTGATACAATTAGTAACAGCACATTATATACTTGAAAGTTGTTGAACTAGATCTTGAGGGGTCATATCAGACACACAAAATATGCAAGGTGATGCCTGTGTTATCTGATTTAATTGTGGTAACCATTTTACAATGTATTAAATTATCACAGTGTACATCTAAAATATGTACAATTTTGTTCTTAGTAAAGCTGGGACAAAACAAAGGAATGGAAGTATAAACAAACACATTTGGAAATACATGCATTTGTGAAAATTTCAAAGGAAATGGAACAAATCTTTTTCATAAAAATTAAATGAACACAAAAATTTTAAAAATGAGTTGTTTCAGAGCTGACCTGAATCAATAAAGCATCTCATTTGCAATTAAAAACATTGTTTAGTAAAAGATTGAGATAGCTGTAACATAATACATGACCTTTGTAATGTGTTAATGTCTCATAGAAGTCCCATTAGATAAGTACTGTGCCCCTCACGAGTTTTACGTATCTAAAATTCTTAGATAAATTTAAAAATTTATTACTGGTTAATTTCCAATAACTTTAACATTTATAAAACCTCTGAAGCCAAACAGAAAGGCTCAGATTTTAATCTTGTATCGACTTGCTTGTGACCCTGAAAAGAAGAAACACGTGTTTCAGGTTCCTCACTTTATTTTTTTTTCTTTTAATTTTAGGGAAGGGTCTACAGGGTGTTCAGAGTCTCACTACTAGATCAGACTTGTAGTGATCTGCCTGTTTATAGCCTTGCAAGAGCTGGGATTAGAGGCGCGCGCTACCACGCCATCTCAACTGTCGTCTCAGCATGTCCCGGCAGTGGGCCGGCATGGCAGGCCTGGGGATCGAACCTCTGGCCCCTGTGCCTGTTTGCAGGCGCTTTAATCCACTGAGCTATTTGGTTGGCACTTGGTTCATTTCTAAAATGGGGATACTATTACACAGAGATAACAATAATAATGCTAATAATACTACAAAGCACACAGATTACTATGAAGATTCCATGAGTATGTAATATATCAGGTACATAAAAATCTGTAACTCTTTTCTGTGATTATTAAATGAATATCACCTAAAAATTTACAAGAGATATATGAAAGCAGTAAGAGTCCACATCTAAGCAAAATGGGAAGATGTATCAGAGGAAATCTCAAGAAGATGATTTTAAAATAACAGGTACAGAGAAGTAGGAAATGAGAAATTTGCCTTAAAAAAGTACAAGTGGTAGAAACACAGTTTAAGTGCAAGAAAGTATATAGTTTATTCACGTAATGGCACTATTCCAGTAAGGACACAAAATAGCAGTTAGTTTGGGGGCAGTATTAAGAAGGAAATTGGAGATTTATTTTTTATACAATTGTTTTCATGGGCAACATTATCCAGAACATATAACTATGAATGTCCATTTTGTATCTGTGTATTCAAAGTGGTTAGGATAGATATATAGTTGCATTCTCTTAATGAATAGAATGATTTTTTCTAATGGTGTTTGTAAGTAGGATCACAAGTCTGCATCTTGTACAGCAATTAACCACTAAGAAGAATATATGTAGTGTATTATTTGTTGAAACTGTACTTTCGATTTGATTTGAAACTGTCTCATTGCTATATGTTTATCAATAAAACTTTGAAAAGAAAAAAAAAAAAAAACATTATCCAGAACAGCCAAAATGTAGAAGGAGGAGCTGGGGAGATAGTGCAGTGGAATAAGAACTTGCCTGGCAAGCACAAGGACCTGAGTTCAATCCTCGGTTCCGAAAAAAAAAAAAAAAAAAAAAGTAGAAGGAACTCAAATGTCCATTAATATATAAACAGAATGTGATATATACACAGAATGTTAAGTAATATTCAACTTAAGTAGAGAAATTCTAGCCAGGTGTGGTGGTACCTGACTAATTTAATTCCAGTACTCTGGTAGGCTGAGGTAGGTGGATTACAAGTTCTCACCCAGTCTGGCAACTTGGTAATTTAGCAAGACTGTCTCAAAAAGTAAAAAGGGCTGGAGAAATAGCCTAGGGCAAAGGAAAGGCCCTGGATTTAACTGTCAGTGCTGGGAGGGGGGATGGAAAGTCTGATACATGTTATGACATGGATAAACTGAGGATGTTATATGAAGTGAGTTTAGTCAGTGACAATAAGACAAGCACTTAAATGTATCAAGAGTAAGCACATTCACAGAAACAAAAAGCAGAATGGTAGCTGCCAGGAACTGGGTCCAGGTGGGAGTAAGGAGTTACAGTTTAATGGGTAGAGTTTCATATTTACAGGGTGAAAATTTCTTTAGCTTGTTTGTATAATGTGAAAATGTTAACACTACTAAACTGTACATTTAAAAATGATAAAATGGTAAATTTTATGTACATTTTATCACGATTAAAAATGAGCTTAAATATAGAAAGTAGAGGGGGGACAGGCCCTGAATATTTAGAGATTGAAGTTCATTGGGTAACACCAGCTGGCTTGGGGAAGACTGATCCATTGAACAGGATATTCTGGCAGAGTAGAGAAGAAGCAAGGAGATCATGAAAAGCCAATTCCATATCAAGCAATATTTGGACTGTAGTGTATTTTCCTCTGTCATCCTCCTCTGGCATGTGGACCTCCTCCTTCCTTTTCTCTATATACATACTCCCCCTAATTAAAGAAAAGCTTTTGGGCTGGTGAGATGGCTCAGTGGTCTAAAGCACCTACTTGGAACAAGCTTAGCAAAGCACAGGGACCATGGTTCAATCCCCCAGCACCACATGCCAGCCAGCCCCACCCCCTGGTGGGCTGAGCTGGCCACACACACACACACACACACACACACAATAAATAAAATTTAAAAAATAAATAAATGAAATAAAAGTGAATTCACAAACCTTTAAAAAAAAAGCAAACAATTAAAAAAAAGAAAAGCTTTTCAAGTATCATATTTTTTAAAAAAGAATATGTATCAGTATGTATTTAATGAAGGCTAATATTTTATTTTTCTTTCTTAAAGGTTGTAAGAGTACCTAAGCCAATACATCACTTAGTTATACAAATCTAGAATAAAAATACAGAAAATTAAATCATCCTTAAAACAGAAGTACACAAATCTGAGAAATCTAAAAACAGAAGTCTGTGTGCTTATTTACTAGAGAATAATTTTAATTATTAAATTTTAATTTTGTAAACCAATTAATTTATAGTCAGAATTTAAGGAAACAAGAACTTTATGCCTTCTAAGTTTTGTCTGAATTTCTCTTATTTTTGACATACAGTGGTACATCAGTTCACGAAATTATTTGTTTTACAATTTTGGAAAAGATGGCCACTGAATGTTTGTCACTTCCTGTGGAGTTTGCACACAAAAACAACACTTTCCCAAATGCTTTTGTCTGCGGATGAAATTGTTTGCCAACAAAAGCATTCGTGAACTGAGCTACTACCACACTTCTCCATCTGTGATGCCAAGCCTTTAGAGCCATGTGCCCCAACTGCAACGCAGAAACACTAACCTATCACAAAGTCCCAACACTACGATTACACCTGAACACTGAGGCTTTAGTTTAGAAAAAACAATGCATACATTAACATCTTTTGTGTTAAAGGAAAGAACGTGAGTCACAGGTCTGACACCACTGTTCCACATTCTTGTAAAACTGAAAAGCATGGGGAGGTGAACAGCTCAGTGGGAAAGCACTTGCCAGCATGCACAAGGCCCCAGTTTAAAGCCCAGAAGTGTAAAACATTTAAAAATAAATAATTAAAAAGAAAAATTTGGGGGCCGGGGAAATGGCTCGGTAGAATAAGTGCTTGCCTGGCAAGCACAAGCGCCTGAGTTCAAAACCCTGGTTCCACCAAGAAAAAAAAAAAAGAGAAAAATTTGGTTGCCATTATAAAAAATTCTAGTTCTTTAATAAACTTACATTATTTATATTTAGAATATCAAATTACTAAAACTTTTTGAAATTTATTCAATTATTTAGTAAACATACTTTTATCAACTATATGCATGGCTGGTACAATGGATTTAAAAGTAGACAAAATATTTCCCTTACAAGAACTCAATCTTTAATCCTTACAAAACAATTACCTAAAGAAATAAATTTACCTTTTTATAGTATGTTCTTGTTGTAAATACTTATCTTGCACACACTTTTCAAATAGAACTAATGCATGTTCTCCTTTATTCATTCCATTTGGTACTTGGTGTTCTGCAAACTCAGTAGATAAGAGTTCGGATTCTATTTGTTCCAACAAATCTTCTGATGTTGAAACAGTCTTTATTTTTGAAATAAGTTTCTTGGTGCAGTCTGTATCATAAGGACTTTCTGAGTAAGTCTTTTGATTATCAGCTTCTGTGAATGTAGATGATTTTAACTCCGCCAATATTTGTGTGACTGCCTGCTCAGTTTCACTTGCTTTTGACATATGCCTTGGGCAATCTCCACTAGGAAAGATGGCTGCTTGTGCAGAATTGTCTGGGCACGTGTCTACTTGAGCACAAGAATCCGCACCGCCACCCCGATCTGGAAAGTAATTGTCAGAAGCTTCAACATGACAGTGTTCATTAGGCTGACGTGAAATTTTGTCAATGCTTAATGACAACAATTTGGATTCATTTTCTAATTTGCTGCTTTCATCATCAGAAAATGAAACATGTGCGTCTTCCTTTAACTCAGGTGTTTTTCCAGTATGTTTCTCAGAAGAAATGGAGTCTATGTGCTCAGTCTCCGACATGCTGACCGGTACAAGTTCACTTTGCATTTCTTCAGATGCACTCCTGACTTTTGTTTTACATCTAGAAATTAAAACATCAAAATTTTTAAAAGTTTTAAAACAAAGACCCCATAAATCTTTGCATATATGCCATGATACAAAATAACTAAGATCACGAATTTTATCAGTAGTAATACATTAATAAAAAGAAGACAATCAAGCCAGGTTGGCTATAACTAGCAGGCCACTACAAAGTCTGTCTGTCTTCTCTTTCAGCCAGCCAAGTTCACTAATTCTCAAAGGGATGACTGGGCATCCAATTTCATCATGAGAAAATGAAACATATCTTAATATCTAACTAAGATATTAGATAAAGAATAATACATGTAACTTTAAGTATGAATGCCAAACATACATATAGAATTCCTTTAACTCCGTGAGGGAAAAGAGATAGCAAGATCTAAATGAAAAATATTAAAGAGAAAGAAGGCAGTAATGAAAAACACTAGAAAAGAAATCACAAAGCATTGTAACAAAACAATGTATTTCAATGATAATAAAAATTTACTAAGAAAGAAAACTAAATGACAAGACATAGTTACTTAGAACTCAGAGGCCTACCTCTGAAATAAAAGGAAGTTAGAGCATAAAGGATCCCAGATAGGAATTAGTTTTCAAGTAGGCAGGATCTAGAAAATATGGCAATGATTTTCAAACATTCTCATTAGCAGTAAAGCAAAATTCAGTTCAAATCAAATGAAGCCCATATGCACCACACAGGTCAAATAAAGTGGCATTAAAAGTTAATTTGATAAGGTTAGAATACATTTTGTCATCACTTACAGAGGTTAGTAATCCAACTACTTTCAGCAACTTTCAATATTATCCTGTGCACAGTTTGGATAATTGTACTGTTGATTTCTGCTGGTCTATTGAAACAAGCAGTTAATGCTTACATTTTACTTTTTTCTCCTTTCTCATTTCTTATAACTTTTACTTATTTTTTATGTTTTTAGTACAGGGTCCACAGGGTCTCACAACATAGATTGGACTCATAGTGATTCTGTTTTCAGCCTCCCAAATGCTGAGATTACTGGTGTGCGCTGCCATGCCCAGTCTCAATTGCATCTCAGCATGCCTGGGGATGGGGCCAGCACGACATACCAGGGATTGAACCCCAGCCACTATGCCCTGCCTAGGCAGGCACTTTAGTCCGCTGGGCTATCTGGCCAGCCCAGTAACTTTTTTTAAAAAATCAATTAAAAAAATTTTTTTTTATGTATTTAGTACAGGGACTCACTATGCAGCTCAGACACAGTAGTGGATTCAGCCTCCCCAGCACTGAGATTACAGGCCTGCGCAGCAACACTGTCTCGCTGGCTGGCTCAGTGTATCCTGGGCGGGGCCAGCATGACATGTGGTACTATGGATCAAACCATGGTCCCCGCCCTTGCCTAAGCAGGCGCTTAGTCCACTGAGCTAACTCATGGGGCTTTAAACCAATTTTGGAGGTTTATATCTGGTAACCTGAACAATTAATTTGAAGGTAACATTATGCAATACAACAACCATTGTTGAATTCCTATTACTTTAATTACATTTTGTACTCTTTAAAAATAAAGGGGCCCAGGGAGATAGCTCAGTAGAATAAGTGCTTGCCTGGCAAGTGCAAGGGGCTGTGTTCAATCCCCGGTTCCGCCAAGATAAATAAATAAAAGAAACATTACCCTGTGATATAGAATCTTATGATGTTCAACTTGCCAACCTCCTTTGTCATGTATCAACAAAACATATGCAGGATAGATGAATTATCAAAGTCACATTAACTTGGATTAAAAAGTAGGCAGACAATTGTTTGGAAAGTAGGACAGAATTTCAGATAAGATATATATGGAAAACAATAAAATTTTGCGTAACAGAAAGTTTCACGTACACATCAGGTTATGATGGAGATCGTGGTAAAAGGGTTGAGAAGGTAAATTAGAATACTAAGCAGGAGTGCATTTACTAACCTTAAGGCTGTATACTTGATCATGTATAGTTTCTAACACATAGGTTCTGAAAGATTGGTCAAATTAAAATCTTTTTTTTTTTTTTTTTTTTTTTTTTTTTTTTTGAGACACATCCTTTACAGCTGAGGCTGGCCTCCAATTCAGTGATCCTACTGACACTGGGAGAAAAATTTATCTGGGGCTGGACAACCTCCAAATGATATAGGGGAAAAATGAAACTCCTGACCTGAAAAGTACTTGGGATGAGTTTGTGTTCTCTAAATCCAAAGAATTAATTTTAGGAACAAACACAGGTTATGAGCAGAATATATTTACTGAGGGAAAGAAAGCTCCTGTCCGAGAGAAGGACAGGAGGCCCCCCCCCAGCAGGTGGTCCTTCGGAAGCTGTCTCTTCTAGGGACTTTTATAGAAGAAAACTGATAGGTTTCAGAGGCAACAGCGATGGCAGCAGTGCTGGCGGCACAGCAGAGAAGCAGAAATGGCGGAGGGGAAAGCCTTTATTAACTCTAAACACAGGGAGAAGACCAAGGGCAGGAGATGGGTGGATCCTCTGACCTGAGACAGGGAGCCTGAGACTCTATGGACTTCTGCTAGGGGCGGAGCTTGAGGGGCAGATTTAGGGATGTACAAGGAGCTGATTGGAGGCTCCCTTGTGTGGGTGGGAAAGGTCACAGGAAGTTGTACCCAAGGTTGGAGTGGGGAAGGAGGAGGAAGTGGTCACTGGGAAGATAAGCTGTTGTTTTAAGGGCTTCAGCCATATCAGAAGACCACAATAGTAATTCAGCAATTCTTACTAAGGCCATAACCTATCAAAAACTATGCAGTGAGGCAGGTGTAAGGTAGTGTTGAACATGGGAACTCACTCAGGTGGGCATGAGGTGGGACAAACTATGGTCAACCAGTGAGACTATAAGCACCATTGCTCAGGTAAAATTTATTAAATCCAGTACCAACTGAGGAAGTGAGTCACACAGCAAGAGGGACAGGGTCTCTTCCTGTTAGGGGTTGGGCTAATGATTCATTTGGGCTCTTTCAAGGTGATTGATACCTATTTAGAATATCAATCCCTGATGCCCATCCCTATGTAGCTGTATTTGTTTCCTCTTTTGTCTTGAGGTATGGCCTATATGGGAGTTTGTCTCTTCCAAGTTGAAAGTCACGTTATCTTCCATATGGTTTCCTTGAGGGCCTGGTTCTGTCTGACTGCCTATAGTATTTCTATCTAATTCAGCTGCCTACAACATTACTGCCTCAGGGTCCTGAGTTCTGGGAACACAGGCATGCACCACCATGACCAGCTGTCAAATTAAAATCTCTAAACACAAAATCATGGGATTAAAATTAGTATTTGAGGAACATTATTCTAGGTACATAGAAAATTAGAGAATGACCAGTTTGTCTGGTAAGTATCCACCTGTTAATTTAGACTGCTTTGAGACATCAATTAATAGTTATCGACTTTTGTACTCTATCTGCGCAACATTTACTTCAAAGCAACTAAACAAAAGTTATTTCTTGGTATTAGTATTTTATAACCAAATCAAAGCTCACACTTATGTTAAAGGCTTGGTTTAGAAAATACACACAATAAGTAAACATAAAGCTTCATGTGTGTAATATAGTTCAAAACTTAGGATAAAGTAAAATGAGTTTCAAACAAGGACACTGACTACTCACCTTACTTACAGTAATGCACTTTAATGACTTGCAAATGTGTTACTGATGGAATCTTACCAATTTTTAGAAAGCAATCCAAGAATGAAGCAGTTTTCACATGACCAGTTAATTGACTAGCTAATGCTATTGCAACAGAAATGCAGCCCAGAAAGTCAGAAACTAATGTGCAGAAGATGAGGAATCTGTTAGAGAATAAGTCTATAAAGGCACTGTTAAGTCCCCAGCATACAACAGTTTAGCAGAAACTTTATCAATGACTTTATGGCTCCTATCTGTGTGCCATGATTTGTCAACAGAAAAACACTAAGCAAATATCAGTTTATTATCCTCTCACCTGTGTCCAGGGTTCAGTCTTAGTCTTTTCTCCTCCTAGAATTTGTCAACTTAGATAATTTGAAGCTACAACAGATGCCTACACAATTACTTTGAGTCTTGTATCCTTGAGTTAGATATCTAATTATTTATCTCTTTATTCTATGTCTGCCTCCCTTGAAGTTTCTCTCTTAGTTATAGGCATTTCCACTGGAAGTTTCTCCATAATCTCAAACTCAAAATAGCCAATCCAAAATCACAGTTCTACAATTAAGTACACCCAGCTAAGCCTTTCTATTTTTTTCTGTCAATGGCATCCTTTGTCTTAGGCATCTGAATTTTTTTTCTTTTTTTTTTTTTTTTTTTTTTTTTTTTTTTTTTTTGAG